TAATTAACCAGTTTTTTTATTTTCATTATCAATCATTTCCAGATATCTTGATATTTGAACTAGTTTATTTAATGATAACAATCATTTGATGTCGTTATAATTTTTCATCACAATTTTGAAATTATATCTAAATCATTCAAATTTTTAATCAATTTTCAACATCTTATTCATTTATTAATTTAAAAAAAAAAATTACTTCAGCAAAATTTCAATAAATTTATGAATAGTAATAGTAAAATTACATGAAATTATTTATGACATTAAATACTTCTTCAATCATTTACTGCTAAAGTCATAATTAATTGTGAAATGTTATTAACAAATTCAAAATGTTAATGTTTTTTCACAAATAAATTTTAAGGCAATGCAGACGAACTATTTGAAAAATATAATTTGATTTATTGTATGCAAATTTTGTAGAATTATTTCAGGAATTTTTTTTTGGTGCAATATTATTTTAATAAATTTTAAATTTTAATCATTTAATAATTAGTTTGTAATTTTTTTTCCGCAGAAGTAAATGAAATAATTATTCCTATTCTTTCATTTATTTCTCTTTCTGCTCGAGTATTATTTAAGATTTCAAGGTCATTAAGGTCATTGTTTCTCTTTTTTCGTTTTTTTTCTTCTTTTTTTTGGTTATTTCATCTGAAGGACGGTGTATCAGATTATGGAATATTAAACTTTGCAATTCTCTTTCAATTTTTAATGCTTTTCCAGCAGGAATTTTAATAGGAAAAGTATGGGAAAGAAGCAATGAGGCACTCAGTGATGTCCTTGTAAATTGATTTTAAACCGTGTGAAATTTGTATTCTTTCGAATAAAATTTGCAAAAAAAAGGGCAAGAAATGAATTGGTCTTCATTAAAAAAAAAAAATTTTTTTCCGATATCAATCTTATCCTTAATTATTGTTTAGGAACAAAAAATATTCATAAAAATGTCTTCATTATGTGAAATAAATTCAAAGGATTTCAATTAATCATTTATGGCTATCGATAATTTGATGAAATAAGGAACTAAAACTTCTCATGAAATAAAATAATTTAGGCAATTTAAAATTAATTAATATAAAAAAAATTATTCACATTTTGATATGGTATGAATCGATAACGATAAAATCACATATGTTCGGAAATTTGCAATAAATTTCTGCAGTATTTATTGCAATATAAAATATTTAAAATGTACAAAATGATAATAGCATAAATTTTGTCCATTGTTACTTTATAGTTTTCCTCAATTTGCATTTTTTTTTTTGGCAGTGAGCTGAAATGAAGCGTTAAAACAAATCGCATAAAATGGAAATTCTTATCATTTATTATTTTATAATTGTTGACAATTTGATACATTTTTAATATTAGCTTGAAAAAATATTCTTTTAGAAGCAAACCTTTTAAATTAAAGAAAAAAAATGAAAAAATTTTAAATATGCTCAAAGTTTTTTTTTACAACTTTGGAATAATTTCGAACAGTAAATAATTTATGCTTGCTCAATTATTACATTCTAAATTTATTTTTTCAAAATTATTTTGTCTATGAAAAAAAAAAGAAAACTTTCGCTTTTACTCATTTAAAATTTTTCCATTAATTTTCACGTCTGTTATTGTTGGTAACAAAAATTATTGAAGCAAAGTAGTGTAATGACCGCTTTCTTTTTTCTTTTGTTATTGTTTAATGTCATTAGAAATTGTTGTTTGAAAAATTTTTCATTGCACAGTTTTTTTCTTTACCTTTACTGTATGCAATAAATTTTACTGTTAATTAATTAATTTGTATTTTTCATTTAATTCTTTTGTTGAGTTGAGAGAAAAGACGAGGAATTTTTGATTAATTTCGATATTAATTGATCATTTTCTTGTTGATATATCTGAAAATTAATCATTCAATACACACATATGTATTCTTTTATTTGTTAAAAAAAAAAAAACGAAGAAAATGATTGAATTATAGATTTAAAGAATCATTACGGTCTTCAAACAACAATAATGAGATGAAAAAAAAAATTATGGAGGAAAAAAAGGAAAAAATTTTAAATGTGATGAAGAAAAGAAGAAAAGTGTAAGAAAATTAACAATTAAACTATGACCTTGGCATAATTCGTTTCTTTTTTGAAAAAAATTTCTTATTTTTATTTTTTCCTATTTTGACGTCTTCTAATCTTTCATTTACATCGAACATATGTGAAATTATTTTATGAATTAGTTGTTAATGAATTATCGTTTCTCTTTTTTTTTTAAAGTTAAATGAGAATTTATCACAAATATCTCTTATATCATATATAATTTCTCCTCATTTTTTTTTTGTTCTTATTTATTTTTTTTTACGTGACAAATTTTTATTTTGATTTT